CAAAGAGTGGCGGGGTGGTGGTGATGACAAGCGGCCTTCCATCTAGTCTTACACTGCTAAATTAAGGACGGCTAACGCAGATAGCCCTCGTGTAGCTTTGCGCGAAATTCAAAAACAAACAAACAAACTAGTACCAAAACAAACAATCATCGTGATTGCTTTTTGTTCGAGATTTTATTAATATTAAGTTTTCTTATTATCAGTAACTTCTATATTTTATTATTATTCATCACGAAATAGCAGACAATTGACCGTTAAAATTATGATTTCAACAAATTGTCTATTTCAGTGACCCTTCATAATTTATTCGTGTTTCTTGCTTATTCTTCATTGATTTCAAGCATATTTACATATTAAGAGTTGTCAAAAGCCAGCGTTTTAATTCTGACAATGTTTTACTGCCACGTGTTTTTTGTTTCATTTTGAATCTAATAAAAATGTTTCGGCGATGAACTTCTTATTAAAACTTGAAAATCTTGATTGTTTCAGATGAGGAACGTCACACACGAGAACCTGGTTCGTTTCATCGGATTCTGTCCAGACGAACCTTATACCTCTCAGATTTCAGAATTTATCTCCAGGGGAAGCTTGAGGGTATTGTATTTGAAAGATTCTGGCTGTTTTAAATATGATATATAAATATGTTGAAAACATTACAAAAATGTGGTTTCGTAGTAAATTTTAGCAGAATTTTGATCGGTTTAAAGTCAAACGTAATTAAAATTCAGTGTAAAGAATTCAACAAAATCCAATCGTGGCTTTAAGATTTGGAAATTAAAAGAAAAAATTGTCTTGGGTATTGACTGACTAGTAATAGAACTGTATATCAATGTAATAGAACTGTATATCAATATATATATATATATATATATAAACCAGATGTTAAGGCTTAGGTCAGTAAATAAATCATGTGGTTTTAATTAACATGCAATTTGATTATGATATCAATTTAAAAAGTAAGCCACTCACAGACTGTGAAGCTGTTGTGGATCAGTGCACCAAAGCACCGCTCCTGCACCTAAAATTGGAGCTCAATCCCGACACTTCAAAAACTCAATATATGCATACAAAAAGAGCTACTCACTTTACACCTGAACTTAAGTGTCTTTTATAACCAAATACTTAGAGTGCCAGAGAACACTCTAGCTGTTTGCGATTCCCCGTATCCACTAATAGACCCCCTCGCAGACCGCCCAGCACACACTCTGTTATTCTCCCTCAGTAGTCGGCGTTAGGCACAATGTGACCGTTCCGGCTCAAAAAGCTTGTGTGAGAACGTTAAAGGGTTGACATTCTTTTGTCATACGTCATGTGGTTATTAAAACACACGAATATGGTATTAAAACACTTAATAAAAGTAGCTTTGACAATTATGCCGTGTGTTTAAAACCCACACATTTTTAGAAGGCTTAGTATTTACATAATAAACAACGAAAAATCACTATTTTTTAGATATTTGTGTTGGCAGGACAGGATGTATACAAAGCTATGATAAAAGTCAAGGTTGTTGATACTGTAGCGCAATTAGAAAGACAGTAAATGCATGAGATATGAGAATTTAAAACTTGTTTTAATGTTTGTGATTTTTTATTTGGTACACAGTTGTTGTTGTTGTTGTTTTTGCTGCTTAAATTAAAGGAAACTGAGTTGCGTGTTTTCTCTCGTACTATACCAGTATTCCGTTCGGTATTAATGTAAGTAGTCTCGATTAATTAGTGTTAAATATATTTTCTTTACTTAAAATGAACTCACAACAACATAAATTAGCTTTTGAGACCTTTACCATTATGGTGACATCGTAGGTCTGACACATTTTGGCACTAAAATCATTTAGGACAACATCACTGGATTATATTAATACATAGTTTAAGCACCCTAGCCGATAGTGACCGTAATTACAAGGTCTGGACATTTTAAGATGATTAAGTTAGATCTCAATTGACATATGAGGTACTGATGAAAAATAGTCACTCGAAAAATACCCATGACTTATCAAATTACCCAGAAAGTGTTCGTGTTTATTTTTAAGATAAGATGGGTCGGCTGAAAAAGTAATAGAATTATTTTATTCAACAAAAGATTTTTGTCATTCTAAACCTCTTTATGTTTATGACTTTTTAAGAATTCATAAAACCTTAATTGATAGATTTAAGGTTTCGTTCTCTTAAAGCCGGATCTCATGCGTTCTCCGGGAAGATATTAAGATGGTGTTTAAAATATTTTGACTAATAACACAGAATCTTCAGGTGTTTAAAATATTCTTGTCTACTAACACAGGATCTTCAGATGTTTAAAGTATTCTTGTCTAATAACACAGTATCTTCAAGTGTTTAGAATATTTTGGTCTGATAACACAGTATCTTTAAGTGTTTAGAATATTTTGTCTAATAACACAGTATCTTCAAGTGTTTAGAATATTTTGGTCTAATAACACAGTATCTTTAAGTGTTTAGAATATTTTTGTCTAATAACACAGTATCTTCAAGTGTTTAGAATATTCTTGTCTAATAACACAGTATCTTCAAGTGTTTAGAATATT